ATTATAGCAGCAACAATTATAAAAATAGCACTTCTAATCATAATTATTTTACCATCCCAGTCATATTGAGTGCGAAATTATAACATTGATGTTATTAGGTGTAGTAAAAAGAAATCCATTATTTTTGCATGAAATTGAATGGAAAAATAATGGATTTCTTTTTACTACACCTAATATATTACTTTTAGTTTATATTGACTGAAATGTAATTATAATCAAGTATCAAACATCTCTCAGTATATATAGCACAATTATTTCTCTTTTAAATATTATGACAACTTATTAACATTCACAAAATTATTTACTCTGATGCTGTCCGACACGATGTATGGAGGGCAAAGGCAAATGTTTAATTTTTGATGAGAAGGTTTACATCAGATTTCGTACTATCAATGATCAATGATAATGCGGGATAAGCGAGCCGAGAAAAGCAAAATGGAGCTGCAGATCTGTTCCTAATTGAACAATTGACAGCGGAAAACTTTCGCGATAATAGTCCTTCAAATTTTTTCAAATTTTTCAAATCGCATAGAGAAGAATCGCATAGAAAGTAATTTTGAATTCATATCGCAATTTTGGTTGCCTTCGATTAGAAAGATTCAACTTTTACGTTTATCAACATCGAAAAACATTTTTAACAATAGAATTCAATAAAATTTTGCAACTGCGTGTTATTTTATTTGCTATGCTATGTATGCAGCTAGATTGTACAATTTCTGAATTCCAAACAGGTAAATTTTATTTCACATGTAGCACGTACTTTTTCAGTGGAATTATTTACAATCCAAATTAGAACTTAGAATTTTTAGTATTAACGCTGTATGTTACTTAATGCAAATGTTGCAAAACTTTGAGATATATTAACAATTATTCTAAATTTCTCATTATTTTAATTCCGCGTAACTCATTGGCGTGTGCCAATTTCTCGTCGTAAATGTATTTCCGCCGATTCGAGCTGCCTTGTCTGTCTGACTATGCCATTATTGTTCTACTTACAGCTTTGAAGATAAATTACAGATAAAGTTTTAAAATAATATAGTTTTGTTCCTATGAATTTAATACAACAATTAGGTTTCAGTTTTACTAATAATTATTTATTAAAAAATATATTTTTTCAATATTGATGATCGTTGCAATTAAGCAAATTAAAGTTCGACTATATTAAGGATTGATAGAAATATCTCAAATAAAATTAAATTTAATCACTTATATTTTATTATTATATGATTTTATTAATAATAACAGATTTTATAGGGTATTCAAATTTCATCGTGATTATCTGGAATTTCGATGGAAATAGTACGCTAGGACGATCTACATATTTCGAATTATTGCACATGCGATGACGCATGTCCAAAATTCAGTTAATAATCAGGCACAGTCAGACGTATATTGTAATGATACCTACTTTTGATCTCGCGCATCGCAGCGATTTATGTATGTGTATTAATGCCATTTGATCAACGCGCGTCACAAAGGTGCGCGTTAAAACAAATATTATTTATATGTATATACAATATGATGTATGACGTACATGACGTATGTATACGCAAAAAAAGAATGGCGAATATTTTACGTATAATGTTGATGATATTATAGACATATTTATATATTATGTACCAGAACAAAACTCTATATCACTCGTTGCATGCGCTTGTTAGCATAATGAGGATACGGGGTAAGCGGTGGTCGGATAGTAATACACGTCTCTTTGCAAAATATCATACCGGCTTACTTATGTGGGACAAGAAAGATCTACGAAGCGTGGAGAGTGGTCTCATCGACGCTCTACTTTGTTAACAGGTAGCAGATTGTAATATTGCCGCCGTGAGATAGTGTTTAGTGAACGAGTTCGCAAAGGTGAACAAGAAGCTGCGATGGGCACAATCGTGTTCCATAGTCTCTTTGCAGTTTATGCAAAGTTTATGCTTACGCGTTTTTTACATTATGCTTTGTAAGAAGTAATAAGCAGAAATTTATCAATAAAAATTAAGAAATTGGATTATTACAATTAGTTTATTAAAAATCTCTCTCTTTTTTAATAATTATTATAAGGAATTGTCTCACATTTTACAAAGAGTTTTAAAAAATATACAGCAATATACATTTACAAAAATGTTCCAGAAGAACATAATGAAGGTTCCAGAAGAAATGTCTTATTTTCTCATAGTTTTTAAATTTAAATTAAATTAAATATTTTAATTAATTTTATTATCTATAACGAAATGTGCGTATAATAATACATTAAAAGTTAGTGTTCCATGTAAATACTAATATGGATTAATTAAATAAAAACTTTCATGATCAATATTATGTAACATATTATAATGAAAAATATCTGGCATCTATCTAAAATATTACAAAACTTTTAATAATCTTTTATCATTAATAATAATTAAAATAATAATTATTGTCAAGAAACAATTTTCATTGATTTTTTATTCAAGTTTTAAATTG